TCCCGTTCCCCCCCTCTTCTCCTGCTCCTTTCCAGCCAGCCTTCTTCTCTTCACCAATCTCATTCACACCGCATCACTCAAGTTCATAGCCCCTAAAAGAATAATCATGAAATATAATCATTTCAAATATGCTAACGCAATTACTTGGTATTCGCTATGCTGCCCCCTTAATATACATGCTCCCCACGCTATCATCAGAGTAGAAGAAAATGTGAGATACCTGCTAGTATTTCGTCGCTGGAACATCAGAGCATGTTTCCTATTCACTTGCTCAGTTCCTCCACCCACTCCACAGACCCTTGCTGACATTAATTCTCCATTAATTTTCCGAGTCTCAAGAACATAGATTCCTCTGTCTATGCACTTGAAAATACTCCCTCCCTTTCCCATTCCACCCCTACCCCTTCCCTTCAAAAACGCCCCGGTGTGGAGAACACAATAATATAAGCCAAGCCCAAGCCCGCCCTATGTCAATCAACCGAGATTCACCCCAGTTGCCCTTGTACTCCATCCTGTAAATGATACCAATGATGCTGAAACTCCTTGAAACTAGGGAAATCGTATGATGATGATTCGTGAAATAGTATCCTGTTGCTCTGGACACAGATAGAATGAAAGATTGAGATTGCCTAGCATCCTAGAATTGTAGGCTCGAAATTGTGAAGTTACAAGAAAATGCCCACCCATCTATCCTTGTTTCTAACAATCGATTCGCATTCATCAACTGCGCAAAGAACTGTCTTGGCTCCGCGGAACGAGGATATTTTGTCGTTTGTGCGATTTTGAAAACACTTATTGCAGAAGACCTAGTCGATGTTAATGATGGTTAGATAGAAGTGAAGAAAATTGAACTTACATGACCACAATCCTTAACAACCCAGAAAGGGTGTTCTTCTCTGTCCTTTTTACTCGGTGCCCCACGAGATTTTTTTGCTACTGGCTCCTCACCGTCCTTTCTATGAATCAATTCTTCTTCGCAACTCGGGCAAATCGCAGTATCACTCTCCGTGGGCGACCTCGTAAATCCTGCGGGAACTGCTGGAGGCGCAACATGTTCAGGCTTGTTCTCTTGTAAAGCCACTCTTCCATAATCCATACCGTTTGGCATAGCTGGAAAATCTGCAAATAAATGAACCCCTACATCTCGACCCCCAAAACCCAAAAAATTATGGACGCCCATGATAATACCCGCACCGTTGTCATACATATTTCTCAACCCACCAAACGCAAGTTCACCATTGGGGCCTGCTGGCGTTGGTCTTTGTGGACTCAATGGATTGCCACCGTAATGACCAGGTACATATCCAGGCGGGGTAGCTCTTCCATTTCTCTGTCTCTGCAAACGTTCAAAAACTCCAAGTCTAGCATGATGCATTGGTGGTAGTGGTGGGGCACGGGGAGCTAGAGGTACAGAACGTTCTCGAGAATGAGTTATGATAATAGTATCATCCTCATCATCGTCATCTCCTGTGAGATCCACAAACTGCTCTAACCTTGCTTCACTTCTCCCTAATCTCGGCGGTGGTCTCGAGGCAGTAAGATTCCGATTATGAGCTGACACACGGCCTGCAGAAAAAGGCGAACCTGATGGTGAGGGTGAAGGTGTGTTGTTTCTTCTGTTGGCTGCCATACGAGCAGCTCCAGGACGAAATCGAACTGGGGGTGAAGGGTCGTCATCTTGATCGGATGTTAAATCAATAACATTTTCTGAGTTTACTACCGGGCGCCGAGTTGATGCTTCCATTGTTCCAGCTTCCCCTGCAAGTTGAGTATGTCCACCGGCACGCCGACTGCGCAGGCTAGATTGTGAAGAGTTATTATTGGGGTTTGGCGATCGTCGTCTTGGTCGTTCTCGGAGAGAGGATGTGGCGACATTAGGTGGTGCAATTCTTGAAGAGGAGTTACCCAAGTTTGAAGTGCTTTCTCGAAACAATTCTGGCGACGATGAAATTCTTGGATGTGATTGGGACATTTCTGCAAGAGATCGCTTTAAACAGAATTTGTTAGTAAGAAAGAACCAACCAAATATACCTTTTAGTCAAAGAAAAAAAAGGAAACATTTGCTTCCTACCTTACGACTTTCCCTACTTCCTAACCATTCATTCTCCATGGTTGATAGAACTCACCAGAATATGCGCTCGGAGTTTTGATTGCTTTTGTGAATTGAGAAGGAAAGTAACAACTCTTGACAAAAATCAGGAGGTGAACAAAGATCCTTTTGCTCAACAAGTGGTAGTATGTAGGTGATTGAATATGTCTCTTCTGTGGTGGGGATGTTGTGTGTTGTTGTAATAAGAAGTCGAAGTTGTTCCAGTCCGACCCAATTTGATATAGAACTAGTGACGATTATGAGAAACTGATATGAGTAAGCGAACACAATTTACCGTACAGCTGGGTGTATTATATTTCATAATTGAACCAGAGTATAATATATGGAGTGTAGTAGAATTTTGAAGAGAATTTACATCTTGATGATTTATAATCTTTATTCTGAATTGAAATTCTTTACCTAGTTGTTACTTAGAGTATTTTTGAAAATAGATACTATACTATATCTATCTCCTTGAACATTATCTAGATGATATAATATACTATTAGATATGTATTTATATTGTTTAATCTTAAAGGACTCTTTATTAATATACTATTACTATAAGCATTTAATATAATATAATATAATATAATACAATACAATACAATACAATACAATACAATACAATACAATACAATACAATACAATACAATACAATACAATACAATACAATACAATACAATACAATACAATACAATATAATATAATATAATATAAGTCTGAACTATATTCACTATTCAATTTATTCTCATCTTATCTTAAAATAGATAGTTAGTTTAATAATACATTACTATCATTTCTATCTTTTCACCACTTTATCAACCTAAGACTCTTATATTCTTGTTTTAGTATTGACTGGTCTATACCGCCACTATTGTTCATTTTGAGCATCCCAAAGATGCTGCTCCTCTTAACATTATAGTAATATGTGAAAAGGGGCCCTATCCCTAATTCTTATTCCATTTCACATCTTCGAATCACTAAACTCCATGATATTCACATCCCATCTCTGTTTCCTTTGGCATCTATAATGCAAATTCCATTATGCAGGCGCTACACCAAGGACATTCACAACCCCATCACTGTCAACAGTGATCAAACTCTTTGCTTCCTCACCCCATTGTACTGCAGTTGCTGGAACAGCTACGCTCAAGGCATCCGACCAAGATTTCGTAGATTTAGTGTATTGAGAGATTGTAAGCCCTCTTGGTCCGGAAGCTGCCAAAAACTGACCAGTGTAGTCCCATTGGATAGCATCAACTGGTCCACCAATTTCTAAAATCTTCGCTTCTGCGGCCTTTCCTTCTTTTCGGATATCGAAAATTACAATACTGGTAGATCCTTTGGCAACTGCCGCAAACCATATACCGTTCTCAGAAAAGGCGACGTCCTGGACTGGTCCATCAATCTCAAAATTTACACCAGCGCTTTCTCCCGTCTTGACATGAAATAACTTAATCTGTCCATCAGCGCCGCCAGCTGCAAAGAGATGACCATCTGGATGGAAAGCTGCCGTTTTAAGTTCTAGAAGATGTTAGCAAGGCCTGCGCCAGACAGGCTCTCTTGTACAAAATCGACATACCTGAATCTGCATAAATCTGTGTAATTGCCGCTTTCTCAGCCAAGTCATAGAATACAAAGCTCTTGTCGATACCAACAGAGGCTAAAATTTCACCACTTGGATGTAATGCAAGAGCATTCACCGCTCCAGCATGCGATGTAAATATGTGCTCTTCGTCCCCAAACACCTTCACCTCTCCCTTTGCAGTAGACACAATAGGTGTGCTTTTATAGAAAGCAGCTCCCGTGACTGGTCCTCCGGCTTCAAATGACTTTATAATCTTTTGTTCAGCCAAAGAATAGATACCTGCCTCTCCTTTCGATCCACCAACAATTAACTGATCATCGGTCTGAGCGAGTGAAACACACCCAGGGTATAAAGGTTCTGAAGTAGAAGTGATCGTAAATTGGCCGATATCTTCAGTGGTAGCCCATCCTTTTGGGACGGGTCGCTTTCGGCGGCTTTTGGAAAGTCTATAAACTCGTTAGCAATCGAATTCGTAACTCGGATCTCGTCAAGTCTCGTACTCGGCTTGTGTAGTATCAACCAGATTCGCCAAATTTTCTGGAAGACCTTGAGTATCAACCTGCATAGCGTCGCCATTTCCTGCGTTTCCTGCGCCAATTGAAACCTTGCTCAAAGCATCTCTAGCCTCGTCTCTCTCTTTCGTCAACCGCGCAATAACCCTGACAGCTGCATCGTGTTGATACAATGCTGTCGACAGCTCCTGTCGCGTCTGATGTAATTGTTGTCTTATTGTGAAACTTTCCAATGCTAATGCATCCCATTCATTTTGGAAAGTGGAAAGGAGAGAAGGAATCGATGTGAGAGTTGGAGGTCTAGGAGTAACAATTTTGGCGGATTTGAGGTCGATTAGATCTGCGATTTCGAGATCTTCTCCCGTAACTGGATCTTTATGATTTTCCGAAATATATGATTCGATAAGTCGTTTTTCGAAGACGTTGCCTGAAATCTGTTATTCTTAAGCTCACTGACTAGATACCTTGTTTACACAACTTACCTGATTTCGATGAAGCAACTGGATGCTGTGGAGCTTCTCCAGATACTATTAAGAGTTAATGGCAAGCACCAAATAAATTCCAGGAGCTTTCAAAACTTACTTGAGCACAACATATTTGATTCGCGTTGATATGAGATTTGAAGCTCTACATTCGCGCCGTGATCCGACAAATAAAAAGATATTTTGAGGTCGCGATCAATCCATAATGACGCTAATCTATCTACGGCTTAGTTCGTGGATTCGAAGCTCCCGGCGCCGGCCTTGTGTGGGGAATTTCATGTTCTTTAAGTGACTTCATCGCACTTTGGGATATATACGGAGTAATACTGCTTACTATTAGATGCTTAGGTAGGTTATATGTTTTTCGAAATATATAAACATTTGTTCATCTATTCTTCTCATTCTCCCCAAGACCTTTTCTATCTATATCGGAAACAATGACTTCCATACCTCCAATCGCTGGAATTCCCTCCTTATCCACTGTTGAGAGATCCGGTGTCCTCGACACCCTATTCGAGCCATGTACTGCTCTCCATACACTCTCTATGGATTTACTTCATACAACGACTTTCGAGTCTTACAATGATCTTATCGTCAGTGTCGGTACCCAACTTGTTGATCTGTCAGAAAGTACATTACCAAGTGATAGAGAGTGGCTAGACAAGATTCTTGGTTCCCATCCCAGATTAGGCGAGAAGAAAGTAGACAGTGTACAATCGAAAGCCGAACAAGCTCAATTGAATACTGGACCTACCGAAGAAGCTGAAAAGCTGAAAGCTCTGAACGAAGAATATGAGAAGACTTTTCCAGGCTTGAGATATGTGTATGAACATGCTTGTCTCCTACAGTGGACAAGCAAGTGCTAACTATGATGTTAGTGTTTTTGTAAATGGAAGATCAAGACCTCTTATTTTTGAAGATATGAGAAGAAGAATATTAAGAGGTGATATTGGACTCGAGAGGAAAGAGGCTATTCAGGTACGTTGTATTCGTGATTTAATCATGATTTTCTTATAGCTAACTCCAATCCAGGCTATGTGTGATATTGCAGTAGACCGCGCCACCAAGCTACAAAAAGCATTATGAAAACATTTGGACTCCAATAAATCCAATTATTTATGAGTTGATACGTTTTTGGGTACTTGTGAACATATACCCATGCAAATGCCATGACGTTGACCCGCCCCTCTCCCAAATTAATCTGTATAACTTTCAAATGAAATCTGAGGACCTCCATAAAGCCTCCGAAGAATCTCATCTATCATAGTAGATGGTCCCCAATTCTCCCTCTGAGATTTTTTCCATTGTCAATTCCAATGGATTGTTGAGTTTCTTCATCTCACACCAGTTACCTCACCGAAACTCCCATCTCAGCACCTCCAGCACACACAAAATAGCTATCATACAATCTCTCCTCCTCTTTCAGCATCTCCACAATTCTCTCATCTTCAGGCGGACTCAGTGGCTGCTCTTGCATATCTTCTGGAGAAAGTCCATCGAGCGTATCAAGGTAATCATACTCATCTTCTCCCTCTTCCGAAGAACACATGATATTGAAGTCACTGTAGATCGTTTTCTCACACCCGTCCTCCAATTCATCCATCAGCATCTCATCTTCCGAATCTAAAACATCATAGTTTGACCTTCCAAGTGGGCTCGGAGGTAGCACAGATTCATTCCACCTTTTGTTTTGCTTTTCCTCCAGAATCTCCCTTAGATGCATATCCACATCCAGCAATGTCTGTTGCTTTCGCTCACGAAACGTTGACTCCCTTGCCCCATGCATCCGCATCTGCAACCTGATTCGATTGAAAATCGCCACCTTCCGTAGCACATTCCGTTCAATTCCAATTTCTTTCTTCCCTCCACCTTTCCCATCTCCTCCATATACCCCGAGCCTTTTCACCCCACCAGCACCCTTCACACTTACTCCTCTCATGCCAAACACTCTAGCATGTTTATAACTGGCAGGCACCGAAAACGGTCTACTCAATCGCGAGGTAATGAGATGAAGACGCAATCTTCTCTTCTTCCGTCCTGGTCCTTCATTCACGGTATTTGCGTTCAAGTTTCCATCGACGTCTGAGAGGGGGCGTGTACGTTTGGAGCGATAGGGCAGACATGGAGAGGGCGAGGCAGGGGAGAAGGTGAATTTGAAAGTGGCATTGGATTTGCTGGGGTTGAGGGGGCCGAATTGGAAGGAAGGAGATAGGGTCTCTGAGACTTGAGTTTGGATTTGAGTCTGAACGCCGAGCGTAGTGGAAGTAGTATGGTGCAATGGTATCATGTCCACATTCGATTCTATTTAGTGTGCGTTTGCCAATTTGGGCGATGGGGTGGATCGGAAGAGGTGGTAATTGAAGTATCCTCATTCATTTCCTCAATGATGAAGGAAAGTAATAAACGGTATTTGGAACCAGCATTTGGTATGTTCTCCTTCTGGTAAAGATAGTCAACTTTACATCCTTTGAGATTGTATCGTCAATACTGAATCCAGCATCCAGATCGGGCAAGCGAGCAATTGATTTTAGATTTCCTGAAAACAAAAAACGAAAAAGCGTCTTCGCGCAAACAGAACCAAAAAAACAACACAGAACAAAGAGCCGCCATCACCCCATATCATTCTCACAACACTTTTCCCACAGCTCACCAGTAGTCTGTACCACAAGCGTGCGTTCCACCACCTCTGCGGAATTTGCGGGGAAAGGTCATCCTTACGCCTCGCCACCAATACATCTTCGCGCTCCTCGAGAGGCTGACGGGGTTGCGGGAAACCCTGTTGCTGACGGGATCACGAGGATGCTTGCATGCTGGCATCGTCGATGCGAGAGCAAAATTGTACCATGCACGATATTCCAATATTCCAATACCAAGAAACACGAAAGACAAGCGTAGCGGAACAAAATAAAGGAAAGAAAAGATGTAGGATCGATAGATCGAAAGATGAATGTGATAGAATAAGATACCTAGACAGACGAGAGCACAAAAAAGTCCCTTCTCGAATCCCGAGTGTCGAATGTTGAATCATCTGCTCTGGAGTAAGCTAGCTGCCAAAATCTGTATGCCTAACTTTACTTCCCTTTCTTAATCCTCACACTACTCTACTTACACATATCCATCTTCTTCAGCCAAAAAAGTACCAGATTCCACCCTTCCCTCCGGATCTCATTCTCTAGCTTCCTTACACAAACCATCCGTCCATCCAACCAACCATCCATACCAAGCTTCAATAGTTCGTTATACTAGGAAGCTTCTCCATTGAACCTCTAACCTCCAGCTTCCAGCTTCTCGCTTCTACCTAATTAAATTCTTGGCCTCCCTCCATCACAATTCCAGAATTCTCCTAACCCTAAATCCAAACCCAGACCCAGACCCAGCCCGTCATCTCAAACCTATCTCCCACCCACCATTTACCAGAAACCGCCCCGCGCGCCAGAATGCGGGGGCTCCATACATACATACATACATACATACCCAAAAAGCACCACGTCTGTCGATCCAATCCTTGCTTGAAGATAGACAGCCATTATTCCCTGTACATAGAAAGTGGCGGGAATCCGCTAGAATGTTACAGGGCAACTCCTGATTTCTCACGAAACGATGTAACCCAAGAAAATTCCAATAGTGAAGAATATTTTCTCCAGGGGAGTATATCTGGGTAGGTGAATCTGGGATATCCCCGGAACTAGCCGATACTTCCTTACGACTATTCGGAGGAATGATTGTTGCCTACAATTAATTTGCACATATGGTTCATCATCACAACTCCAAGTTCGAACCGCAGATAGTAGATGTTGCACTTTTTTTCTCATTGTACTTTTATGCCTTTTTGTTTTTCGTTTCTTCGCTTTCAAGCGCCATGAGCCTCAACGTTTTAAACACTAATCGTCTTAAAAACATTGAAGTTCTCTCCAGTTCCCACAAGTGCTCCTGGAATCTGTGGATGCCAATGACACTCCTTGACCTTCGCCATATAATGCACAAACAGTAATTGAGGAGGAACATCATTAACTCCACCTGTATCCTTACTCTCCTCATCATCCAATTCGACTGCCAAGTCCCACAGCGTTAGCGTGTCATCACCAGCTGCAACCGCAATAATACTATCATCAGTAGGATGCCACTCTACACTTGTAATTTGCTCTTTGTGGAAATTGAAAGAAGCGACTGGAGATGGTTTAGATGGTTCAGAAGTCTTTGAAGGTTTCCAATTTCGTAGATCCCAAACTGCCCAGACTCCGTCGTCGGCGCCGGAGGCAAGAAGATGAGAAGTTTGGTGTGACCAGGACATGACGTTGACATCTGTCTCGGAAACCTGGACTGTAAGTGCTGCGGTTCGAGATTTACTTCGGATATCCCAGACTTTAATTGTTCCATCGCTGGACGCGGATGCGAAAACGTTCTTTTCCGAAGGACTCCATTGCAATTCCTCGATACTTCCAGTATGGCCTGTGAATGGGCGTGCATCGGCTGACCAACTCTCACCGGCAGTTCTTGTAGAGACGTAAATCTTGCCATCATTATCTCCTGTTACCAACTTTCCCGTAGATATCAAAGGCGACCAATCAACGGCATAGCCTTCCGATTTGTGCATTTTAAGAGTAGCTAAAGCTTTATTTTGTTGTGGAGTGATAACTGTGCCTGGGGTATCAAAAGAGGATAGATGAGGAGTAATATCGTGAATAAGAACCTGACCGGATTCGCTCATTGAAGCGGTAAGGGTAGTGGGAGGCCGCGAAGAGTCTGAAGCGGGTATTTGATGCGAACGTATTCTGTTTGTGGTAGCAGTGAGAGGTATCGAAGCCGATTCAAGGATAGGATCCGAGTCTTCATCTTCATCCTCATCCGATTCGTCTTCGCCCTGTTCTCTCTCCATTCTGCTCAATCCACTAAACTTCATAACCATCAATTGATTTTCCTTTTCCCGTTTATGTTCAGCCTGTGTTCCTGCGACTGCATACATAGTAGCTGGGTATGTTTTTCGATTGTCGCCCAAACCATCCTTAAGTATATCGAAAGAAAGACAAGGCCAAGGGGTACTAAGAGCATGAAGCATTTCGTATGTAGTAAGATCAGGGGATAATGTCTGTCCTGGTTCCAGTTTATTCCTACCAACTATGAAAGTTTGTTGATCGACTTCCATGGCTTCTATAAGCGCATTAGTAAACTCCCACGAATGCGCACTCGCAAGAGCTGCATAACTACTTCTACTAACCTGCTTCTTCAGCCTCTCTTTCAGCATCAGGTCTCCCATCAACACCCGCCTCCAAAATTTCGTCTTCGCTCTCATATTCATCTTCGAATTCGTCCTCGAACTCTCCCACCCCATCATCCAATTCTGGCTTTTCCGGCCTCTCCCCCGCCTTCAAGGACAGATCCATGTTCTCATCTTCAGCTGGACGTTTCGACATTTTGTATATGCTTGCTGTGAATAGTTTGGTAGACAGTTTGCGACCCCTCAGAAAAATAATTGATTGATTGTGGGGGGTTTTCTTATCGTCACAATCGTAATTCAAAATTATTTTTTTAGCGTCGGGTAATCTAAGGTTAAACTCAGATGGATTCCTGAACAATCTTGAGTCGATGCCAATACTATCAGAATTTGAATGTAGCCACCAAGATGTTGTATGAGCTCGTCGCAATTGTAAGTTCTTCTCAAATCGAGTAAACGACAAAAGGATATACAATCTAACCAATCCCTAGGTTCGACCCGGCAACCTCGTCGAGGTCAAAGAGTAAATCGCCTTGCAATTTCCCCCCCTACCCACCTCAAAAATTGAGACTAACTACTCATTCTTCACCTGCAGAATTGCCCGCACAGCTGGTTCCCTCATACTTAGATCCGGCGGTACTATCCGCGGCATACGCAACTGGGGAGTATCTAGTCTACCAAAGCGAACACGCAAACATCAAGCACAATACCATGAGGGACATTACTTTGTTATGAGATACGACGCCTCAAGCAAGACGCAAGATAACGTACGAACAACTCTCGGGTTAGATCCACGGATGATAAAGTTCAGTTCGGTGAAGTTGGGAGATGGCACATTGGAGAGCTTGAGTAAGATTGGTTCGACTATTCCTTGGACGATGGAGGAATATACAAAGGAGAAATGAGTGGTAGCATGGTATCATTTTGTATTGTATTAGTAGGCGTCAGAAGGAAAATGCGATCAACATTTCCATGCCAGGGTATGGAGGTTGATTTTACATTATGGAATTGAGGGATTGGTATTTCCACCTCACATTCTTGTATGGTGTTTCAAACGCCAATCTGCTACCTAGAACGCCATTGCGCAACCAGGAGTATGCTTCGCTGCAGGGAAAAAGAAATCAAAATGCATCCCTTCTAGGTCTTTATCATGCCTTCTCAATCAGTCTCCATTGTCTCTCCAGCTTCCTCCGAATCTCCCTTGTTCTTCTTTACCCATGCAACAAATTCATCAATGACACTTGGCCATGCTGAATCCTCAGTCCAGAAGCTCAGACTCTCATCCTCCATTGTCTTTGCATGAAATTGATATGTCTGGTTCCATAAATCCTTGTTGACACTCTTCTTCCAATTCTGTCCGAGGAACTCCAACCAGAGTTTGATCCAATTGGTTGAGTCGGTCTGCCATTCCTTTCCTGGAGAGCTGAACAAGAGCTCCCAATATACACTAGCAAGTTCTAACGAAAGAGCTTTCTGTCCCTTCTCACGAGCACAGACAAAGGTGTGTCTATATACTCTCTTGAACAAGTCTACGTCGGTCGACAATGAATCTTTGGCCTGTGAGATGTATGACTTTTGTTTGCGCAATGTATCAAGGCTGTTCAAAAGTGTCAGTAACTGAAGGTAAACATTGTGGGGATACCATTACCCTAATTTTTTCCATCCCTCGACAAAGCCTTCTTTGGTCATCTCTCCTATTGAAGGTACTTGAATGATCTCGCAGGGGATCAGAAACTCAACACCTTCCAGATTGATGCCCAAATCATCCCCAAAATACTTCATAGTACCGTCAACACCAACCATGTCGACATCATCATTGGAAGCTAGATCACCATGTTCAGCTTCTTCTATGTTCAACCGTCTTGAAGAGGAATTATTCGAGGTACATACTGCGGTAGCTCTCGAAAAGCTTCGTCAAAGATTCCTTTTCTTTCGCTTGGACAGGGGCACCATTTCCTTGAAAGAAGCTGTTATAATTAGATTATTAGTATATATTGTGAGAGTTTAGATGAGTGCATGAACTGCAAAGTGTTGACTGTTAACTCATAGTATCCGTACTCATGATCGGATACGGTGACAAGAGCTATACTAGATGTTTGCTGTCTTAAATGTGGACTGCCAATAAACCATACATTATCTCACTGCGATGGATGAAACTGAACAGCATATATCTGGAGGAAGCCAGAGATGGCAAAGGAAAACAGTGATGGGTTTCGAGCTGAACATGATCAAACAAATTGGCAGTCCTCCGGTTAAAACAACGGTATTGGGGTCCACCAACAGAGTGTAAACAAGCGTACTTGAGTATTTTCTAACATCTCATGTATGTTTACTCATAAAATTCCATACACGAGAACAGATTTGACTTGCGCCGCGTATCCCGATCATTTCTTAAGGATGCCACTATAGTTCGAAGTCGTATCAAATATCGAGGGGATAGAGAGTGTGTCGTGCGTCAAGTCGTAGTCCACATTTATCGATATTCGTTCCCGCAGCTCGAGTTCTAGGAAATAAAACATTTGCTCACCTATCGCATGCTGATTCTAATTTCCATCCCGTTGATTTAAGAATCTGCGAAACGAGATCTATCAGTAAATGGTTTATGTTTTGACATCTTGGGTGGAAGAGCTTGAGACAACAAGCTTTTATAAGTTTACTTACTTTCAGAGCATTTCTTTCTGAAACTCCAGTGATTTGCATGAACTCATTGAGCATAGAACGTTGTTGCCCATTTGGAGGCATCTTGAAAAAAGTTCCTCTATATTTGTTGTTTATTGAAGGTCTGGAGGAGATGGCGGGGTTGTGAATTTAAGAACATGGGCTTTTGGTCCGGCCTTAGTCCCGCAGCCTAGCGCAAAGTTATGAGTGTTGTAATAAGATAAGAAAGATGGTTTATCATAAGCGATGTTTGTTTCAGGTTGAGTCTTAGACGAGAGTGATAGTTTTCGACAAAAAGGAGAGATGTCTACTCGAAAGTTAGAAGTAGTATTTGATTGGTATTATATTATATATTGGAACGACAAAAAGAAAACAATCTTGAGGCTTCTTTCTTCTTAAAACCTTCTAAACCCACCCATTAAAGAACTTCAAGAGATTATTTAAATTGAACAAGAATTAGTATGATTGATTTGTATCATTATTACTGCCCCTCATCACCATCATGGGTCCCACCCACACACCAAATCACTGTCCATCCCAAACAATATATGTATACAAGTATGGCAGACGCTCGAATAAATGAATCCCTCCAAAAATGAATGCTGCTAATGGTATCTAACTTGATGAGTTTTGAAAAGAACACAATAAAAAGTAGCTGTCACATAGTTCCCCCTAATCCCCAAGTGGCATACTTTCGAGCTCCTCTTCCAGTTGTCTCCAGTTATGGGCTTGAAGCTCCGAGTACTTGACACGTTCTTGTGCCCAGTCTTGACTTAGTCGACTGATGTTGTATTGTGTCGATTGGAAGTAGATAAGCTCATCTCTTATGCACTCTTTAATAAATATCCCTCGTGCATGCTGAGCTACAATAGACTCCTTATCCTATGACACATTAGTCTCCGTAATTTTTGATTTCTGCTTTGTGGAGCTTACTTTGATAATGGCTTCTGTGACCTTTTCAATCTCTCCTGGCTTAACCATGTTTTCAGGCTTTGATCGTATTGTCACTAGTTTGTTCTCGTTGTTTTCAATCCTGCGTTCTAAATATGGAATATTGTCTTTGTCAAGGCGATCCCGACGCTCGAACATATCTCTCATGCTGACAAGAGAGTCTCGTTGCTTCTTTAAGTCCTCTAGAACGCCTTGATCCCAGGCCTTAGCCTCATCTTCGAGAATGTTTTGACTGTTGGAAAGATGCTTGGCAGTAGAATGAAGACCCTCGTTCAACAGTGGCACATCATTAGTATCGATAGCGTAGGTGTCTTGGGAGACATCAGTGAGCGATTGTAAGCACAGTGCCATGCGTAAATGATCTGCAGCAAGTCCTTCATTGCGTTTTGCTAGGCGGTCCATAAGATTGCACATGTTAACATAGGCTTCTGCAGATCGTCGGATACCGGTTCGAGCCTGGGCGAAGAGATCGTTCAGAGTAGGAGGAAGAGAGTCTTCCAGTCCCGGGGGTAGTGGTCGTCCAACAAATTCCTCCTGAATAGATATAGTAGCCTGCTTTCGCCAGACAGCAAGCTCCTGATGCTAATTAGCCTATACTTAGTAACAATATGTGAGATGTAAGAGAAGTGAAGGACTTACTGTTGGAACAGTCAGAAACATTATGACCAATTGCTCTTGACTAAGAACAGGGTGTCGGACAAGTGCATTGGAAAACCGTGCTAATCCTCTTCTGCGCTTCTCCATGAATGAGCTTTCTGCAGCCAGATGATTTCCATTCACTAAGAATCACTCAAGTTAGCAATGAAAAATTGGCGGGCAAGTCAAACCTACCTGCGACTCTCTTTGGGGGGAGAAGTGGCAATTGTCTGAAAGGGAATCGCTTTTGTAAGCAATCTAGCAACCAGACGAAATCACTATATCTTCTCACAACCTTACTTCCTCTGCGAACGGAAGAAACTTGATAATTATGATGTTGGAATAAGAACATTCCCTCTTTCTCAGCTAAAAGAGTGACGACTATATTCTCTTCTGCTCCATTGCTAGTCACACGGCCACCGCCAAATGTGCGGGCTGGCGGAGCAGCTTCTTCCTCTGGTCGTTCCCCTTCCCCGCCATCGCCACCGAATCCACCACTGCCGCCAACTGGTGGTGCTGCTGAGTTGTTAAAATTTGAATTCGCATCGTAGTAGCCCCATCCTCCACTTGCAGGCTCTATAGGAGCACTTCTAGACTGCTGACGTCGATCTTCATTTGATGGTCCTGTAGAAGTATTTGTGAAGCCACTTACGGTTCTCACAGGTTCGCGTGCTCCATTTGTCTGAGCTCCATTCGATCTGGGACTAGCATGATTGTGGCCTTTGTGAAGAACTGGGCTTCCCCATGGATCAGCCTCGGGAAATTCCAGGGAATCTTTTCGTAACATTCTAGGTTGTGGGGGGGATGATGAGTTATGTACGGATGGTACAGATGGTGGGGTTGCAGGTCGCTGAGCAGACTTCGTAGTTGATTCATCGGTCGCAGAGGATTCTAAGTTTGCGGTTGATAAATTTGTCAAGCTTGCAAGCTTGGGCACTGGGAGATCTACGCATTTATCAGATTAGAACAAGCGAAAGTGAATCTTCAAAGACACTGACTCCTTCGTCGCTCATCTACACCATCAAGTGTAACTTCATGAACATCCTCTTCTTCTTGAGCCAACCCGATCAAAGCCAATAGTACATTGACCTCGTTCCGTTCTAGATCTTGTGGCTGTGAAGTAGGGGCAATAATTTTCATAATCCAGCTCGACTTCTCAGGGCCCAAATTTGCAGCATCTAGAAGTTTTGTCACGCCGGTCCTACTAAGTTTTCCATTGGATTCATTGCCATCCTTGAGTACATCATCAAAGATATCAATATAGCTCTCGGGCACCTCGGATGTGGGAAGAAGATTTTTTAGTAAACCTCCCCGGTCTAGTTTCTTTGGCAGTGATGTACCCCATGGCGAGCCTCCCGAAACATCGTCGTCATCTGCGAATAATGAAGATTTGGATCCTGGGGTTGAACTTGGCTCGTCGTCGAAGAGGGATAATCGCGACTTGGACGGGATTGTTGCGCCAACAGGCTCGTCGGAAACTCCGAATAGAGACATTGTATCCCGAATATCCTCTAGGACGTATAGTTATGTATAGTAAGACAGAATTGAGTAATTTTGTATTTTAACGTCGTTATCATAGATAATTGTTTTGGGTATTTTGGAAGCTTGGAAGCTCTAGACGCGGGAAAGCTTGGACATGCTCTCTCACCATGTAACCGCGCATATTTTAGTACAGTACCCAGGTGGGACTTGTGGAGGAGGTATGGATCCAAGTGATACGAAACTCAAATTGAGAGATCGATTTGGAGCCTTGTTACTAAATTTTATGAAACACTCAATGTTTATTAATATGGACATCTATGTGTGAGATAAGTCGCGTTTTCGTAGTCACAATGAATGATGGTCGTCTAATCATATATGCCCCTTTAATTTTTGTACAAGATCCAGGTATTAGTTTCTTCGATACATGAATTTCTCGCCTTTATGAAGCCTTAGTGCATGGAATATCGCTGCTAATCATTGTGAGATTAAACATCGGGTAGTTTAGATTCAAGAATAGGCTGCAGAATGAGCAAATAAGACTACAAATTGTCTTTACACAAAACGTTTGATACTCAGTCACTGATATATTCGGTCTGCGGGGTAGTATGTGAGAGTTCATGACACATATAAGCATTCATTTCTTGGTCAAATATGACCTAGCTGCAAAGCTTTAAACCACACCAGAGCAAGATGAGACTCGAGCATCTGGCTCTATATTTCATCCTCGACGGATCAGAGTACGATATACTCATGGTGAGATGAGAATATTTGCAATAGTCTGAATGAATCAAAACCATTGGTTGCTTTCGATTTTGTAGGTTGATGATTTAAAGAATGGCGTTCTGTTATCGAAAAATTGTAAAACTACTCGTATTGCTTGATTCGTATTGACATACGTCATAGCCATTCCTTATATTCAATATACAATGGCAAAATTTACCATATTCTGTTGGCACTCGCTGCAGCACCTGTACCTGTCTTCTTCGATTTCTTTTGGAAATTTCCAGTTCGTGGAGCCCTAAAGAACAAACTTGGTCCTTGACCCTCCTCCACAGTATGACTTAAGTATCCCCTGTGCGCCGGATCTCTATAGTATTCGATGTCCTTACGACTTGTGGGATCTGGCAGGCGGTACGAGAATGGTGACGCGGCAGCGGCAGCTGTAAGGATTGGAGAGTCGCTAACCAACTGGGCGTCGATTGCTGAAAGTGGGACAGGACTAGAGACAGATTCCCCCGCTAAGAGTCTCTTAATCGCTGGTTTTGTATAGAATCTAGTTGTGACCGTTCCTCCAAGCGCTTCCACTGCCTCGATTGCCGTCGCCGAAGCGCGAGATACCAGAATATTAATCGGCGTTTTCAACTCCTCCTTTCCTCTCGCTAATAGCTTCACTCCATCCTTTACTCCGTGTAAACATCGAGAATCAGCCAATTCCTTCAAAGTAATGGGTCGTGTGGGATCAAGTCGACCTTGGTCGATCCATTCTTGTATGCGATTAAGATTTATTGGGGACATATCAACGGAGAAACTGATAGGTTCATTAGCTATACTTCGACACGAAGATCTCTCTAAAAGAACGCTGAATCTCAATTGAGTGTGCAAAACTTTGGAATTCATACTGATTCTCAAATCCTCTCACACCGTGGACAACATCCTGTGGCGTTTGACCACCTTGGAATCGTGCTGGGACTTTTCCATGCTGCTTCTGACCCTTATGACCACGTCCTGATGTCTTTCCCTTTCCCGAAGATGGACCTCGACCTCTTCGTATACGTTTATTATATGCCCCAGAGTTGTCGGACAAAGATGAAAGAATCGAAGCGTTCCGGGTTTGCATCAATGGCGCAAGGAGTGCAGCCAAAGGTGTGGCCAAAGTTGGCGCCGAGCGACAATAAGAAGTGAGCGCTGGTAATCGTGGAGGCATCTTGTGTTGAAGGAGGGGGGGTAGAGGGGATAAATTGAGAGGTCTTTGTCAGTATTGAGCCTCACAAAGAGGTTCTGAATTAAAATTATTGATCTGTTTGCTGATTGGTTCATTTGGTTATCTAGAAATTGCTGCTGCTTTAAGGATAATCCATATTCAATATTTAATTGTTTTCCCGGGGGTTTTTGGTTTTCCCCAGGGATTCTATTGAAATTCTAGGCATCCAGAATCCTTGTATATAGCCTGAATATAGCCTGAATATAACCTGAATATAGAGAAAAGCTCCGGAATTTTAAGCTTCTCTCAGTGTACCTAGGCTGTAATCAACTAATCAGTTCAGGGGCAGAAAAGAACCTTATCAGTCAATCCCTCAGGGACGGAAGTAGGTCGCTGCAGGGTACAGAATAGACCACCAGGACCAACCAACAGGCCAACCAACTCAATCCATTATACATAATAGCAATTCGACCAAAAGAAAAAAAGAAATCGATAACTTTTCTTCTTCATGTTGTAACCCAATACCATCTACAAGTTACAAAAACCACAGTATACAGTATACAGTATACAGTATACGGTATACAGGATCTCCTCCCCATGGATTGTTCAAAGCTACTATCATCCCAAACCCTTTTGCGACACCAAAGAATCTTCCTCTCCAACACTCACTCGCATGCGCGCATAATTGTATAAAAAGACTATATAGTAGAGGGGGTGGATACGTCAAGCCGGCATTATGGGACTTGATCGCGATCAGCGTCGATTTTTCCTCTTTCTACCCCTTGCTGGCCTCGTAATACTTCTTTTCAGTCTTTCCATGCTCTCTGGTGCGGATGTGCGTTCAAAAGTGCAGAAGATCCCTATACCAGGTCTGAAAAATAAGCCTGGTTCAGATGTGAGTACTGTCTTCGCCTCTTGACCTGGATCTACTTGTTAATCTTGTATTTTGTATAGTCCTCAAAATCGCCGACGTCGCATCCAGACCAACATCCTATAGCTGCGCTTATGAAAGAAGCGGATGAAGCATTCCGAATATACGATGAAAGCAGATCAAAAACTTTCAAGGAAACTGTGTCAAAGTATAGAAGGAAATATGGAAGGCACCCGCCGCCAAAGTTCAGGGATTGGTATAAATATGCTCGAGACAGGAACGTTTACAATATCGACGACTTTGAACAAGTTATGGATGATCTACGGCCATTCTGGGGAGTCGATCCCGCCATCATTCGGTCTCAGGCGGCGCATCTTCATGCCAATCATGATGATGGTATTTCTGGGATTCACATACGATCTGGGAAAGTTTGGAAGTTGAGCAACGAAAACTGGAGAGCAGAAACTATGAAAGAAATGATTGAACCCTTCGTCAAATTTTTACCAGACATGGATCTTGCCATGAACAGGCTAGACCAGCCACGCCTAGCAATACCATGGAATGATCTTCAAGTTCTCCTTGCTAACGAAACGGCTAGCAGAATCATGTTGCCAGAAGCTGTTGCCGAATTCACTACAGATATGTCTGGATTGTGGCAGAAGGGGGCAACTGCTTTTCAAGAAGGGGAGACTGAACCTTTATTGAAGGATCCAGAGTGGTTTAGAGCACCTGGCCGACAATACATGTTGATCGCAAAAGAAGCTTGCCCTCCGGAATCCCATGCCAGAGACTCAATGTCTAAAGCCGCTGCAGAGGCCACCTATAAAAGTCCAGAGGGAGGATTTATTACAAATTTTAACCTTTCTTCGGATCTCTGTACGGTCGGTCCTGAAATTCAAGATTTACACGGATTTTTATATGCAAGCAGTACAGTAACGGCCAGCAAGCTGCCGTTACCTGTATTTGGAGAATGTAAAGTCAATATCAACAATGATATTCTATTCCCTGCAAATAAATACTACGAGTATGATGATGCTCGATACGCCTACAACCCAGCAGGTGACGTTGGTTGGGATGACAAGGCGGACAATATGATTTGGAGAGGTGTCACTTCTGGTGGAACTAACACTGCAGAGACTTGGAAGAATATGCATCGTCAAAGATTAGTTCTGCTTACCAATGGCACCGTCATGAAAGATACTAATGTGAATATCATGGCCATGGATCCCTATACTCCTGGTACATATAAACCTTACGATCACTTTCAACCTAGCGAATTCGCCACTAAACATACGGATGTTGGGTTCACGGAAGCTGCTTCCTGCGTACCAAACTGTAGCTTCTACGATGATGTCTGGACCTACAAGCCATCTGTAGAACTTACCGACAAATTCAAAAGTAAATATCTCATCGACGTCGACGGTCATTCATTCTCCGGACGTTGGCATGCATTTCTTAAAAGTAAGGGTTTGGGTATCAAAAGCACTATCTTCAAAGAATGGCACGATAGTCGATTATTTCAATGGAGACATTTTGTCCCACTAGATAATCGGTATGATGAGTTGTACAGTATACTTACGTATTTCATAGGATTAGGGGATGCAGATTCGAAAGGAAGAGATGGAAAGCCGTATGTACAAAGACATGATTTCGAGGCAAGAAAGTTGGGGAGACAGGGAAGCGAATGGGCGAACAAGGTTTTGAGAAAGGAGGATATTGAGGTGAGTTTATTCTCGAATTAAATTACAGACTTAGTAAATGGGTTGTGCTGATTCAGCCTTGAAACAGATCTATCTCTTCAGACTTCTAATCGAATACGCCCGTATCATCGATGACAATCGAGATAGGATAGGATACTCCGGGGATGGAAGTGAGTTGGACAAATACGATAGTAAAAATCCGGTTACTGGGCAACACGGGTAATGATTCAAATGATTTGGAGATGGTAATTCATGAGCGTGGCGTTTGGGCATGCTTCATTCTCCACACGGAAGGGAAGCGAGATCTTAGGGGTAATGGGTGGATGATACATTGTTTCTATAATTGTATATGTGAAAAATGTATGAAGGATGGCGGTCAGCTTTGGTAAATTTTGTACTATATCCATTTCCATACAGAAAACGCCTAGTTAATTACTTAATTCAACGATATAAACGATGGAGGAATTACAAAAATTAAACTTACTTATTCCTCGCGAAAATAAAAGACTTTCCACTGTCAGCACGGTCCTAACGTGCACGAGCGGTAACCTCTACTCTCCACTCATCTCACATCCCCTTCCGCACCCATCACCAAAAGAAAAGTCCAGAATCTCTCCGACCAAGCTGGCTGGCTGATCAACAGCAATTCTTGGCATCCGAGGTACGTACCATGCCATGCGTACTTGCGAGCTTGCCTTGCATACAGGATCTCCGAAGCAAACAGGCATGCCTACACGAGGTCTCCAATACGAGCTTTCTCGCTAAATGCACATCGTCTGTATCTTCTATGCTTATTGTATGGAGTAGACCTTGCAGGCTTGCCATCGATGAATAGAGATAGAGATGGATATTCAAGGTGGTGGTCTGGGTCTGGGTCTGGGTCTGGGTCCATTCTTGGGGTGTGAAGGTGAGGGTGGATAGGGTGGATGGGGAATTTTTTCCTCAGCGTACGGACGTACGTATGTATGCATGTAGATTTGGGTTGTAAATATGAATGCGAATGTACAAGTTTAGACCACTGTGTACGGTACCCCGGACGCTGAGATCCCGCGTGGACGATTGATTAGGGAGGTGGGGTCTAGGCAGGGCAGGGCAGGACAGAAGATCTAGATATATGGGTCCGGTTCTCGGGCGGCTTACGCCCGGTGCAAAGCTGGGGTGGTTGACCGCTTGCTTTCTATCTGCTTGCCTTCCTATTTTGTGCTAAAGAAATGGGTGAGGGGAGGGGAGAGGTTGGGATGAGAGAGGGGCTGTGGGAGCACACGTATGTGTGTAAGCATGAGTATCTACAACAGAATTCAAGAAAGGGTCTAAGACGGACATGAGATGAGATGAGATGAGATGAAGGATTTACTATACATGATTACTGTGCGTCTTTTTCTCTCTTGGCGATGAGGAATATCACATCTTTATTTGTGGAAAATGGTTCATGGGATGGAAGGGGAACAGGCTGGAATGAGGGTGAGGATACCGTTGAAGTTGTCATGCTGTCGTAGGCCTGCAAGTGCAGACTGGTGGTGGTGAGATGAGGGAGGTGGCTTTCATATCATATAAAGTAGATGGAGATTTACTTTGAGTGTGTCTGAACTTTCTGATTGCTAGTTATTATCTATCCATCTCTCTATCCAACATCCAGTATTCAGCATCCAGCATACAATCTCCATCTTCCAACCAACCAACGCCGCCCCAGAAAGAACCCTCCAAACCACAACCATGAAATTCCTCATCCCCCTCCTCCCCCTCAGCACTCTCCTGCCTCTCATCTCCGCTGCCACCACCGCCAAATTCTCCCTCCTCTCCAAATCCACCTACACCCCCTACAACAACATACACTTCGGCTCCGTCGGCTCCGTCTCCGGAACCCTCGTCGCCGGTCTCCAACCCCTCCAGACTCTTCCCGTCGGAGGAACAATAACCAACGGCGTACTCTCATTCATCGGGATGGATCCATCAGATGATGCTATCCCGGCCTATTTTATCCACGGCGCGGCGGGAAGCTGGGTACAGTTGGATGTGTGGGCGAGTCCGCAGAAGGGATATAGTTTGGATAAGAGTGGGAATTTGTTGGTTAAGGGTGCGGGGGGTTTTTATGGTATGGTTCTCTTAATGAAAGGATACTTGTGGTGTGATGTGTCTGGAGACTGAGGTGTTTGGGGCTAATGTGTGATCATCTAGCTTGTTTGACGAGTGCAGATTCCAATACTGGTGTTATTGGAGTCTTTTACACGACGGCTGGAGCGGCGATTCCAAGTGGTTGTTATGCGATTCAGTTGCAAGCTGTGTATTGTGAAGAGGATCTTAATAATTGTGCTTGAGGAAGGTGTTAAGAATGGGTGTATATATGTAATATGTGATGATAAAACGATAGTATGAGGAAGAAAGCTCACGAACAAAAAAATTGGTGGTGGTTAGTATTTGGTATATTAGAATATAGAGAAGAGAAAATCAGCCAATGGCTAAATATATAGATCCCAGAGCAGACAGGGAAAAAGAATAGATGATCTGGGCTATTAGAAATGTCAGATGCAATTTGCAAGTCTCATTCGAAACTCATGAGCTGTTTTACTCACCTCCCATCACTGCGACATTTGGTATGAACCATCTAGGGAAGGCTTCTCCTACATTACCATTTCTGTATCGGGAGATGAAGCACAATAGTGAAGCGAGCCATGAATGAGCGTGAGTATTCTAGGTGATCTAGGACTTATTAATATCCTACTCCTTTTAATGTAGCTCTCTCTCATACAATCAAAACTTCTATAGTATTGTACCCTTTGATCTAAAGGTGATAAAAAGGTCAATACAACCCCCCCAAAACGCAATTCACTTGAACAGAATAAGAGTCTATGATCAAGACACCGACCCAATCCTCTCAAAATCTAGCCGAGTTGGAAATTTTCTAGAACTCACACCATAATACCATATCACTATGAATTTTCTTGACCCCGTCTATCAAAAATAAAAGAGAACTCACTGAGATCTTTACACACACAAAAGAATGGGATCTGGATTAACTCACAAGACTCATACATCCGATGTGCTAGACATAGAATACACTATATTCTATGCTACGTGACTACTATACCCGACTTTGGAAATTTCATCAGCTTCTCACTCCTCGCTAACTACTACGTCTATATTGTCTTCCGCTCATTCTCTAAAATTCTGATCACACATCATTTCCCTCGACCAAGATTCAAGACCGAATGTTGAAATTGAACTCACTTCTTTGGAAGTAAACTAACATCCAAGCAAGTAGTTAATATATTCATCTACAACGGTTCCAAGCTCCACTCTAGACTTAACAATTCCATGACCCCTATCCGTCCATCACACCTAAACACCTACTCAAATCCCCAAATTTCATGCCTACCTTACAAGAGCTCAGAAGGATATCCATTCATTCATTCAATAGAACAAAACAAAAGAAACTATTTACCAGCTAGTCCTCGAACATCCAACCTCCTTATATGACACATGTACCTCGTAAATATTTCCACTGATCAGCGACAGGAGACTTCAAATTCCCACACCCCCAAGCGCGCAAGTTCAGATTCGACTCTCGAGAGGCATTTTGAAGATATCTTTCTCTACTATCCATCATCCATGAAACTCCCCCCATACTATACACCTCACATCTCACTCTAAAATGCGCACCACATATGTATTGTATATTTCCCTACACCCGGATCAGATCTATCATTATCAAGTCCCAAATTCCAAATTCCAATTCTATCACCTATAGCTAGAACAAGAGGGGTCTCAGGAGTATGTTGAATTGAAGAAATAGACTGGACTGGAGTGGACTGTGTCTAGAATTGGGACTATTAAGTTTGTGGAGTTTTTAGAGGTGAGTTGTTTTGCTTGGTGATGTGTTGATATGATAGATCAAACACCATATCCATCTTGAGATATGGTGTTTGATATAAGAGAAAGAGAGAAAAGGAGTGCTGGGATGATGTGAAGGAAGAAAGGAAAAAGTGGAGGATATGTATATTGTAGTATGGGGAGATTGGGGTAATAGATTATGATTTATTTCTTATAGATGATTGGAGGATAATATGATGAATGACATATCACTCACAGCTATTCATCGACACGACCTCTTGACTCCTGATTCTAGTCGTGAGGCGAGTATCCCTAGGTAGCAGCTTTGCGAAAGGTAAAGCTAGAGTCATGGATATATGTATGTGTATAAATATGTATAAGAATATAAAATGATGAGACGGCGAATACTTGTGCTAAGCTAGACTAGATTACGCTGGGAAGAGGACAGAGTGAGGGAGAGGGAGAGAGAGAGGAGAATTTCAACCCTGGTGGTGGCAGGCGCGCATCTTGAGATTATGTAGATGGTATGAGGGAGGAATAGAAAGTGATAGAAAAGAAAAAGGAAGGGGAGAAAGAGAGAATATTCTTCGGATTATTGGATTCAATTTGCTGATACAGATTTGAATTTTGCAGTGAGATTCTGAATCACTGAATCTAGGCACTAGTAGAGTTGAAGTCATGAGAGCACTCGCGTTATGTGACTACGGCAGGTAGTCCATGCATGTACTGATGAAGTACTATCAAACTTAGCTGTTGCTGGTGTCCTAAACTGTGTTTACATCTAACTACAATAAAGAAGAATCCAACGAATTTTCCATCCCCTTCGAACGAGAAGCAAATTTGCAATCGAAATGCAGAGGATGGCTAAAACAACAGCAATCAGTAAGCAGTGACTCTCCCAAAACAGGATGGTTAAAAATAAAAATAAAATCATACCTCGACAACCCCGTTGTAAAGCCCACCACCGGCTCAATATCTTCCCCCTTCAAATCCACCATCTTCGAAATATCAACCGTAGATATCAAAGTCGCTAACACAATCCACACACTCGCCGATGCCAGATGACGACCTACACATATTCTACGCCCAAAACCAAACGGTCCGTTGAGATATGGTTCTCCAGCTCCACCGTGTTCAACTGGGATATATCTGTCTGGACTAAATATATCTGGATTCTTGTAAACCGTCTCATCGCGACTCATTGCCCATGTATTGAAAAATACATTCGTACCACGGGGAATAAACATTCCTTTGTAGATGTCATCCTTAAGACTTTTGTGTGGGACGCCGAGAGGAGATAGAGGTCTCCATCTAACTATTTCTTGAACGATGTATTCAATATATAGAAGATCTGGATGTTCTCTATCTTTTAATGAAGGAAGACGATCTAGTCCGATACTTTGATCGAGTAGACTTCTCGCTTTATGAAATATAGTAGGATTAAGTAATAAATTTAATACTCCCACTAACGTCGTTGCGAAAGTAGTATCTGATCCTGCGATAAATATAGCGGCAGCAGAACCATTTATATCTTCCATGGCAAAGTCATTTGGTAGATTTCGAGACTCATTTTTCTCATATCTTTCAAGCAGAGGATATACGTATGACGAGTTTTGAGCTTCCCCTTCATTCTGTCATGGATTAGAAATGAGCGATGATGTCGCAAAGGGTGTAATAACATACAAATTTCTTACGTGCAGCAGCAAATGGAACATCATGAAGTCGATTTATCGCGGGTCCCCAATTCTTCGCATGTTTTATAGCTTTCGAAGGAACAAGCCAGTGAGGAAGATTGCGGAGGAAAGGAAAATAGTCAATGACAGTAGCTCCTGGAGATCCACCATTTCCTGTAGCATTGATTGCATCTGCTGCAATTTTGATGTATTCGTCATCATCATTCTTTAGGGTAATTCCAAATGCTACTCTCAAGACAATAGCAGAAGCAAACCTACCAAGAGTGAGCATGATTATTTAAGAAACCGCGATACCACTCGCATAACTTTACCTCCTTAAAGAAATTTCCCAGTCATCAGGCCGCTGAGTAATAGTATAAAGAGCCTGACGTGCTTCATATTCTTGTACTTCTCGATACCGTACGATACTAGTCTTCGTGAACGCTGTCTGCAAATGTGTTCTGTGTGCTTTGAAACGTGATCCCCATGGAAGAAATGTCAAAGTTCTACCCCATCCCATACTATTTTCAATCAGCCATGTAAGCTTAATAGACAAAATATTACTTACACCTCAAATAGAACAAATCGAGGTCGGTCACAATAATTAGCTCCTCTCCTAGAAAGAAGCTCTTCTGCAGCTTCCACAGTATTCAAAACCACAACTGGAGTAAGAAATTGTTTGAAATATAGTATATCTGTGTCTTGGTATGTCAGCATATTGAAGAAGGATATAGTAGATATAGTCTACTCACTGTATTCTTGCGACAACTTTTGATAGTACAAATGCGGATCGTCCGTTGGAACTAATCGGATATGTCCTAATATTGGTTCTCCTGGAGGGCTTGGTGGAAATGGATATCGTGATTTCTTTAAGAAGGTTCGCCCAAAAATTGTAGATAGTGTAATACATGCTACAATACCAAGAAATGTCATAGAGAACACCCCATATTCAGATATCATATTGATCACAATAACCACCTCCAGCTAGGACATCGAATCACACCTGGGAGTGAACACATATGATTTATGAGATGTGAAGTCCTACATTGTAACCATGGCTTACAGCAGCAGTATATCTTATCTCACCTATTACCTGGTTCGCACGCCATTCGAGATACTCATCAGGGAATGAATTCGTCAATAAAACGGACACATCCAATGAGAATAAACGTCTCGACTCAGTCTGCAGTACCTCGACTCTTTGGGTAGTGAGCCAGCTCCACAATGTGAAAATAGATGCAGGAAACGAATCAGAGATTCTATTTAACGAAGCAATCTAAAAAGTTGCAGAAATCCATACCTACTGTACCTAGGTTAGGTAAGCTGTTTACCGAGAGAATTACGGTACGTGAAAGATGTCTTAAGCGCAGCCCCGCCAACCATAAACTCATGCCCAACTTCAACACAAACAAACATCATGATTCCATCCTTAAGCAGTTGACAATGACAAGATTTTCAAGGAAGCTTTCATCATCTACTATATCTTTGATCAAGTGATTAATAGTAGGCACGGATATAGAAATGAATCATCTAATGCGCAGTCAAGTCGAACTGCCCAACCTCAAAATGTTTTCTAGCTTCTGGATATCAAGTGAGTTCTAGGAATGGCGGGACATACGTGATATTGGCTAGGTACCTCTAAGTTCTATCCATTTCCTTAAGTTGTCATACTAGGAGTAGACCATAGATATAAACCTTTCCGTCACTCTTTAAATTCGCTTCAAATGGAACTGTATATATGGCTAATCATCTAAGAACCAGCAAAGGGATGATCCATCTATCATGATACAAGCTTTGGGCGAATCTCTCATTTTATTCGCATTTAGTCGATCCGAATGGAAAAGTGCTGTTGCATTGGCGATGATGGGTTGATATAGGAGAGTATCTGATATCTAGGATGTAATGATGTATGGATGGTCTACTTTGGTCTGGTGGTCTTCGATGTATGGTGAGTATATTGATAATTTAGTGGTCAGAGTTAGATGCAGGGATATCTCATCTCATCAGACTTGAAGAAGCAAAGGATCTTGGTGCATAGAGAACAGCGTAGAGTCAGAATATGTTATATACAAGAATTATATAATGAAAAACCCTCTTTTCATACTCCTTCCAAGTGACCGCTCTTCATCACTTCGTCCTTGAACTCACTTCATTCACGATTTCATTCAGTAAGGGAGAAATGAAGAAGCTATGTTTGCCCGTCTATCCAAGTTCTATCCATCCTGTTTCGATATCTCAATTAACTTTCCCACATGTTTATTACTCAATACAATTAATATCCATCTATATGACCACATCAAATTCCGCACCTGTATCAAAGGTATAGAATTGAGATATATACCAGAGCAGAACAGAGTAGACCAGACTAAAGTAGATCCACTACAATCGATGCACTGATCACTCACTCACACATTCACTCATACACTCATACACACACAAAAGTATCTTCCCAGTCTTCCATATACACACCCAAGTATTTTTATTCCATCTCTCCCCTTCCCCTTCCATCCCCTCACATTTCCTATATCCCAGAAAGCAAGTACACGAGAAAAATTCCAAATTCGTGGCTAGCTGGCTGCTAATATTCTATCTATATATACATACCTACTACTAGTAGTAATATACAAAAAGAGAAATTCTTTCTTCTTTTGGGCAGTTGCAACTTGCAAATAGGAGGTTGAAGTTTGAGTTCGATGGGATAGGATGGGATGGGATGAGACGGGATGAAGGACAGAAAATAATATTTCCATTCATCTATCAAAACACCTCACAAACTCATACCCATCTCTAATAAGTATTCCACATACAAACAGGAAGGAGGAAAGAAATAAATGGATAGAAGAGAATAGAAATTTACTACTACTTAAAACTTAATTTTTGTTAAAGTATATTAAGAATATATAAAGAATGATCATTCTCTCTAAATATGTAACTACTTACTACCTATTCTGAAATTAATATATAATTTAGAGTGCGCTTGCATTAAGATCTCATATATGGTTCTTTTATATATATCTAAGTATTTATCTAGATATATATACTACTCGTAATCTCCACCAGTGTTGAAGTATCGATAGATGAACACGTTGTAATCTTATATACTACTGAAACCTTATACTCATCCCGTTCCAAACATCTCATCCTCTCTAGAACCACAAGCTCAGGACTCTATAAACTATAGAAACAAGATTCTACAAATTTAAACAGAACCAAAAGTCCTAAATGTCCCCGTTCCAATCCTCACTACTTCTTTCCTTTGTCTTTATCATTCTTATTCTCACTTTCACTCTCACTCTCATTCTCATTCTCTTTATCCCAAACCCACCACACCACACTACACCATAGCATACACACCACATCAATTTTTTCTTCATTACATTACATACATTACATCACCCAACCCGGAAATCTCCATCATTTTCTCATTTTTTTCATTCAGTTCAGATTAGATGAATAGATACGTACAAACGAAGCATATCTATCCGAAATGAAACAACTCGAAAGAAAAAAGGAAACTGGATCCGAGATCAGATCTCAGATGAAAGATGAGAAGTTTGTGTGGAGGTTTGAGAGGTAGTTTGGATAGTTGGATAGTAGGGAAGATGTATCGAGGGAGTTCGGGTAGGGTTTCTCTTCAGGATTCTGGAGGGGGGAGAGAGAAGATGAGGAGAGCTGGGGGATGGTTTTGATGGAGCTGGGGTTGATGGAGCTGGGGTAGATAGATGGTAGATAGATGATAAATAGATAGTAGATAGATAGTAGATAAATGGTAAATAGATGGTATATATTATATATACTCAAGTAAGTAAGTATGAATCAAAGAGCGAGGAGCTATAAAAATTGTTCATTAGATAATGTATGCTTTGCTTTGTAGATGAGAGAACGACATACATATCTTTCTAAGTATTTTTACGGGAATCGAGAATGAATACCCAATTCAATAATAGAATGATTGGTAACTTAGCTATGCGAACTCTTTAAAGCCTCTCATATTTTAAAAGTATCGAATTCTTTGAGAGTATCATATATAAAACAACAGTGTCATTCTTGATGGATATATAATAAGTTGATGGATATGTTTTGCTAAAATGGAGTTACGTGGTGTAGTAATTCATACCTACATACCTACCTATCCGTCTAGCTACCCACTTGGTAACTATTCCTGAATCCTTAATGATATATCATACCATATCATCTCTCAGCACAGCACTACACTATAGTACATCTACACTCTACACTCTACACTCTGTAATCTATATTCTGTATACAGAGTCCTGATACCTCCACTGGGTAGGTAGGTAGATACGAAAGTAGACATGAATAGGTATGAACCAATACTATTTATTAGTCTATTAGGATGAATATTGCGATATGAAAGAATACTATAAACTGCATACAAACATGCATGATGGATTTACAGGTAAAGTATCTACACACCTACTCCTTACTACCTATAACACATTATACATGGCCAAGCACCCCAAAAATACATATGTGGAAGGTGAAACGATGATGTCGTCGGTTCTGGGTATGTATGGAGGTGTGTATGTAGATGAAGCGATGACCTTTTTTGTTTTGAGGGGGGGATGAATGAATGAAAAGAGTTCCGGGGTTTGGTGTATAGGTAGGTAGATTTATTTATTTATTTATTTATATTAATTAACGTCTGTCTTGAACCTCCCTAAGGGTATTTAGACGTGCTAAGATAAGGGACTATTTGAGCGGCGTGATCGTCGCAACCGAATTTAGCAATTTAACTTCAATGCCAGGGGCTGTTCGCTCCTCTGCAGGTGCGATCCACTTCTGTTTCCAGAAGGGTACGTCTGATCCGGGTTCTTGTTAGGGTAGAGCTTGGTTCCCGGGTGGATAGGCTCGTTGTGGGCTCCGATCCCTATGGTGAAGGAGAAGAAGTGGGAGTGGGTTGCTATTTGTTTAGCCGAGCGGCAAGGCTCTTATATTGTATATTGGGTTTGCGGTTTTTAGGGGTGTGGTATATTCGAGTGATCAGTTGAGTGGTAAGTTTATAAAAGGGGCGGCGGGCTTTGTTGAAAAGATGGTCGCTTTCTAAGGGTCCTTTAGTAGTTAGGACAGATCTGAGTGTAGAACTCTGAGTCGGTAATCAGCTGAGTGAGCTTGCTAGGTGTGTGTAAGAGTTTCTTGATATATGTGATCGCCTGTTTGTTAGATTGTATTTCTACAGGGGCCAGGGGCCAGTCTGAACGTTTTAGGTTGTTTATAGTGCATTTAAAGAAGTGATATGGTTCCTTAGCGCTGCCGCATGAGCAGTCCAGCTTGTTGTTTTGATGACCAAATCGCTGATGGTAAGCGGCGTAGTCGCCATGACCTGTTTTCATAGCTAGTAGTCGGTGAAGGACTGCTCTTGGCAGAGTTAGTTCCTTCGGCTCCTTTGTGTTGTACTTGGGAGACCATTCTTTATAATTAGCAGAGAGAGAGGGATTCATCTCTTCCCACCACTCAGTCTCTGCGCGTAGGCGCTTTTGGCGAACGATCGTCCGGACACCGCTAATTGTTGGTAGCTTGTCGATCGCCTGGTCCATGGGTCCAATTGCGCCTGCGTTTGCTAGGCGGTCTGCTTCCTCATTCCCTTCGATCTCCATGTGACCAGGTGACCACTTCACTCTAATGTCAAGTTGTTTCATTGCCTTATGGCACTTATGGAAGGCCCATTGCGTTGTGGGCGGCGCGTTTCCGCGAACACCCCAGATGACCGATGTACTGTCAATACACATCCAGATCCGGCCACTCGGGGGATCTTTAAACGTGCTGATCAGGTGCTCCAGCCCTCGCCACGCTCCGATCGCTTCTGCATCGAACACATGTGAGTCGCTCCGGATCTGCTTGGATCCGGAGGCTAATTGAGTGCCATTGTGATATATTACATATCCGTATCCGACACAGTTTTTACGATCAATGGTTTGTTCTGATCCGTCGGAGAAGAT